TTGAACAGCTCAAAATCGTCTGTTGGCGTTGAGGCCAGACCTCGGGGGGCGCCTCCGATTCGTTTCTTGATGATAAAAAAAGAGAAAAATATATTTTTGCTTTGAATCCTGTTTTGTTTTCGATATTCTGCTATTCTGCTTGCGAGCAAGCGTCTAGTTAATATGTGAATCCCACGTGAATAACCTGTCGCGACGTTGTTTTATGACGCGCAGAGGTTGCGAGCGTGGCGTCGCCCCTACATGACTATAATCACAATATTTCGGGATTAGAACGTTTAAGGCCCGGTTCATTGATTTCCAAGGTGAATTTGCTGGTAACTGTCTGCAAGATAAATCCACCGATCTATAATTCTATAGATCGACGGATAACGCGGACCAATGGGATTGCAGATTACGTTTTCATCCGTCCGTCAGATTGCAGTTTATAAAAAAATGAATAAACTCGGTCCTGCAAAAAAAATAATGTGTTTGAAGAAGTTCTTATAGTGATAAAGGTCACCCAAAAGCAGTACTCCAGAACTAAGCATTGAATAATTGGCATATACATTTCCTAATACCTATCTGGGCAGCTCTCAGTATTTTTGTAGCCATTCCTGTGGTGAAAGGTGAACGGAGCTTAAGTTAGCTTGAGTCAAACTTAAGTTAATTAAAACGTACCTTAAGCCAATTCTAGCAGAAGACAAACTTTCTGATCTAGCTCTGCAGTCAATTGAAAATCATATAGCTCAGAATTGTCATACGAGGGGATTAGACAAATTTGCAAATGCAAAAGTGCGCAAACAGCGATTTACTTACAATTTTGTATTTTGCTGATTCGATTTTTATATTTATAAGGGCCGGTTTATTCACCTTCTGATAAACTGTCAGGTACCTAATGCAATCTGATGGATAAAAACGCTATCTGCAATTCCATTAATCGGCTAGTTATTTGCCAACCAATAGATGAAGATTATAGTTCGGTAAATACATCTTGCAGATAGTTAACACCAAGTTTATGTGGAGATGAATAAATCGGGCCTAAGTGTTAATAAGTGATATTACCAAAGTTGATTATTGATTGAGATCTCATCAAAAAATGTGAACCAAATGTTAGTAAACAAGAGAGTAGATTATAATGCTGGTTTTCCACCAAACCAACAAAACAAAAACAAACTTAAACTCAGACAAAACTCTAACTTTTTCTAAACATTTTCAAGATTAGCGTATTTTGCCACAGGTGGAGTTTTGTTTTTCGGGTTAATTTCGTGTTTTAAAACACAAACTCAACAGTCCGTTTGGTGGCAAACCGGCATAATGAATAAATAAACGTAGAAACTTCCATTATTTGTTTGTCATTCTACTCTAAATCAACTCTCAAAAGGAAAAGAGTAAGTAGGTACCTACCAAGGAAAATAGATGTTTTCAAACTTCAATAGATGATAAGATAGATAGAGACATATAGGTATTACAATGGTCAAAATCCATGCGCAGAAGATTCATATTTGAAATAGGGGCGCCAAAGTCGGATCTCGCTCCATCCTGAAAGTAGGCTCGGGCCGGCACTGCGTTGAGTATATTACATATAGGCCAGGGAAGTTAGCTGAAAAAATGGCCTTTAGGAGAAGTTTTTGCAATCAAGCTAATTTTTTCACAGATGATAGTACCCATCAATAGTACTCTGTAAAAAAAAGTTACACCTCCTAGGAGGCTTGCTTTTTCCGCCATGCCATGATGAATAGAAGATTTCATTATAACTGACTTTGACAGAAAGTCGACAAACAAAGTCACATAACCTATAAATAGCAACGTCAATGTTAATATTTTTTTCAATTTTGGCCCTAAATTTAATAACTATGGCAGTTCCCACATAACAAAATTGCATCCTTAGAATGTAATAAGAATGTTCTTTTCTTAGGAGGAATGTGCCTAGAATGTTCGCCAAAACCATTGCGAATGTCCTGAGAATGTTCTGAGAAAAGATTGTAGAAATACTGTTTGCAATACCCAAGAACTTCCTGGGAAATCCATTAGGATATTCCTAGAATATACCTATGAGATTCTCAGTACATCCTGAAAAGAATATTCCTGTTTGATTCTAAAAATATGCTCGAAATGTATATTCTCACATTCAAAGAATATTTCTATGACATTATAGTTATGTTCTCAAAAGAATATTATACCAATATGCTTGAAATATTCTTAGAATATATCTACATATATCATTCTCAATATGCATCCTAGACATAACATTATTGTTTGATTCTAGGAATATACTTGGAATGTTAATTTTCGCTTCCACATATTGCTCCTTTCAGCCCTTTTATATTAAAGGTAGTGAAAGAGTTGTTGGAAAACTTGTCTGTAAAACACAAGTGTTTAACCAAAGCTCCGGTTTCGAGCTTGTTATGTTCTCGTCGCGGTAAGCACGCCAACTGAAAGAAACAGGTTCCAAGGTGATTCAAACGGTAGGCAAGATGTAGATCTTTAATAGCGCGTGGCTCCCTCTCTTGGAAGTCCTACAAAGCAAAAGAAAAAGAATATACCTATAATATTCTTAGTAGGTTCTAGATAGAGCATTATTGTTTAATTGTTCAATTAAGATTTACATATATATAATACTATATAAACTTCTCAGCATAACTTGGTAGGTATATTCTTAATACTTGATAGAGATATTAGCCGAAAGAACATTTTTTAGGGTACATTATAATAATGTTCGTATGACAATATTCAAATAATGTTATATGAAGTAGGTTCTTAGTACAATCTTTCAGGTAAGTGCATAGAAGCAACATTCCTAGTACATAAATAGAACGTTCAAAAATGAATATTTCAATCGAAACAATCTTAGAATATTCATTGAACATTCCTGAAAGAACATTCCAAAAAAAACTTTGAGGGAATATTCTGAGAATATGAATGTTCTTTCAGTGTTATGTGGGTTATTGGAGAGCTCAGACAAGAGAGGTTTTCAACAAGAGACAAGATAGCTCTCCAACAACTGCCATAGTTAGGTATTAAATTTAGGCCCAAAATTGAAAAAAATAACATTGACGTTTCGATTTATAGGTTATGTGACTTTGTTTGTCGACTTTCTGTCAAAGTCAGTCATGATGAAATCTTCTATTGAAGATGGCGGCTGGTGCTATTATTGAAAAAAATCGTAACTTTCTTATTTATTAAGGCCGCGTTAATGGCCGCCATGTTTAAATTTAGTTTTTGAGAATGACGACTGCGTCACTCTACACATAGGGTTCAATATTTTATTATTTGTCCAAAACAAAATCTTTTTGTCGGCGAAACACTTAGTGACAGAGAAAGACAAATATACAATTATGATGCTCCCAATGTAGCTTTTTTGCCGTGGCGCCATCTACTTGAAATTGCTTGAACTGTTTTCACCTTCAAAATTCCTTTTAAGGTCATCTCAAAAAATCCGCATTAATTTCCAAAATCCTTTGGCATTAACATTTTATTTGATATATTATCTACAATCTCTACAATTAGCTTTTTTTAGTTTTTCGTGGTTATCAATAAAATATGCTTTTCACGGATCCAAACTTGATAAACATGCAAATATGCAACCACCAACACATTTAATTGTTTTGGTGGTTGCGAACATGATTTTTGAATTAAAAAAAAAAGGTTGGATATCGAAAAACCAAAATAAGGAATTGTAGATAATCGATCAAATAATGTTTATGCCAAATTTGAGCCAATATTGATGTGCCGTTTTTTTAAAGACCTTAAAACAAATTTCGAAAAATCAACCAATCACAGTTTAAACATGGCAGCCATTAACGCGGCCTTAACTAAACTTTGCAAAAACTAACAGAATGATTTTCTAGTTCACATTTCTATATACAATATACAGGGTGGAATTTCAATGGAATAAATTCAGTGGATATCAGAATGCTGAATTTTGTAAAATAAGGGTACTCTACGAAAATTATCAGGACCATGCATATACAGTGCGGCCGTAAAGTAAGGAATAAATTCAATAATTATTCTTCCAAGAAATTTTTTTCAAAATCCTCGAATACGTCAATTTTATTTTTTGTCGAGCATGTTTTATGAAATAAAATGATTATACAGGGTGGTCGCAGAAAAGCTGGACAGGTAGTAACTTAATTTTTTCAAATAGACACCCCTAATTTCTTTTACATTTCCAGATTTGTGATAAGTGTTTTTCGTGAAACATGTCCTATACCTATCTTCAACTGTTTCGGAAATATTGACAGTTGAAAATTGACTTTTTGCAACTTTGACAGGCTGTAAAACCTAAACGGGTAATTTTAGAGGAAACATTTGACACCAACTTTGAATTTAATCTATGATTAAAATTTCCACTTAAATTTAATCTTCGGGTAGATTCAAAGTCAAAATCAAATGATAGTTTATGAAAATCTAAGATAGGAATGTAAAATCGGTTTTCCTCTAAAATTAATCGTTTAGGTTTTCCAGCCTGTCAAAGTTGCAAAAAGTCAATTTTCAACTGTCAATATTTCCGAAACATTTGAAGATAGATATAGGATATATTTCGTGGAAAACACTTAGAAATTTATCAGAAATCCGAAAATGTAAAAAAAATTAAGGGTGTCTATTTAAAAAAATTAAGTTACTACCTGTCCAGCTTTTCTGCGACCACCCTGTATAATAATTTAATTTTATAAAAAATTTTCGACAAAAAATAAAATTGACGTGTTTGAGGATTTTTAAAAAAATTGCTTGGAAGAATATGTAATTATTGAATTTATCCCTTACTTTACGGCCGCACTGTATAAATGACTTACCATTTGGAAGAGAAGAAAACAAATTAAAAAAGAAAAAACTATATTTAAGACAATTATTAAACTAGACTTATTCAAATAAGTAAAATTGTTGTAAATTGTTACATTCTTATAGGTTTTCAAATAAACTTCGTTGAAAAAATCATAAAATTTCGTATGATTTAAATAGTTTATGAAGAAAAAAACGACAAATTATACAGAGAGCAGACAACCATTTTGGGGAGAATCTTCCTTTAAAATAAACTCAAATCCAAAAAAATGCATTCTAATTTTTGTAGCGATGCTTTTGTTCGTAAAATTTCAAACTTCCATTGCTTTCCATAGATATAAATTCACTAAATATATGATTTAAATTCCAGAAATAATCACGAGGGTGGCAGGCAGAGAAAATCCACCTTTTAGACCTGCAGTGAGTCAAGGAGACTGTCCCGATGAGCTGGTCAACCTTATGGAGAGATGCTGGAACGATAATCCCGAAGATCGACCTACTTTCGAATCGATCAAGCTGAATTTGAAAAATATAATGAAGTATGTATACCTATTTCAAAACATTTTCATAAATATTTCTATATACAGTGTCATTATTATATATATTTACAGTGTCATTACTTAAGTGTGCAACATATGGGATTTTTTTTTAGTAATAGCACAATCAAAATACAAACATGGCCAAAAGTTGGTGCATGTCTGATAATCATATTAGGTGCACTTAGAATGGTTGCAAGTCAAACAGCATACAGGGTGGCTCAAAAAATATCAAAATTGGAGTAATATTTACTTAAATAAAATAAAACTTTTGCACTTCAAGGAGAGTTTTTTTAATATGGCTATTATCATTAGTAATGTTTTAACTTGTTAAAAAAAAAATTTGCGACATTTTAAAGTTGCAACAAACATGAATTTTGTGATTCCATAAAAAATTTAAAATCTAAGCTAATTTTACAAATATGCTTGAATTTGGACAAAGTTATGTAAAATTGATTTGATTTTAATTATATTCTGAAAGTATTGTCGCGGCTTTGGATCGCCGGACAGAAATCTTGGGTTCGTCGTTCGTTCCGTTTATTCCAAAAATCAAAGTCCAATTAACACAGCAATAATTTATTCCACTTAGGGCCAAATTATGGACTGACTGGTGAACGTCTGGTTGTTACCTAGCAGGTACTTTCTATGCACTAGAGAATAGAAAGTACCTGCTAGGTAACAACCAGACACTTACCAGTTGGTCCATAATTTGGCCCTTAACAAAACACTCTGACACTAATTACTTTATTAGCAAACTCAACAATCAAACTCTTTACAATCACTATTTAAATCGTATCACAGTCGAACTGAAACTTAACTTACAAATCAATGCCGGCCTTCTTATATATCCCTAAATCTATTCCTATGAAATCTAGAATACACCCGATAATCTAATTTTCCAGATTAAAGTAGAATAATTCACTAGATTCTAGTATTTCCGCCATCGATTCTTGACAGCCTGGCGGACGCCGTTTTTTTTTTCTGGCGTTAACGATTTCGTAGCACTGCCCTCCTCTTAAGGTTGATCGTCCCGATCAACTTCACGCCCATGATATTTCGCCAATCTATCCAGATGTACAATTTCATCTTACTCCTGGTGTTGCGCTGGACTCGATAAACCAAATCATTGATCCTCTTGATTATTTTGTAGGGTCCCTCCCACGCTGAAGACAACTTCGGCGATACTCCTTTCTTTCTAGCTGGGTTATACAACCACACTAAATCACCTTCTTGAAATCCAACCGAATTGGCTTTCAAGTCGTATCTGGTCTTCATTCGGTCACTGGCTAGTTGAATATGCTCCCGAGCAAAATCATGGATACCCAGAAGTCGTGCTCTTACTTCGTCGGCATAATCTCGGATTTCTCTTCGTTCTTCTTCGGGTACTCCAAACATCAGATCGCAAGGTAACCTGAGTTCCCTTCCAAGAACAATTCTAGCCGGACTTTCACCTGTTGAATTGTGAACAGCCGCTCTGTAAGCCATTAAAAATAGAGGCAAATGCTTGTCCCAATCTCGTTGGTTCTTTGCGACCACTTTTGTCAGGTGTTCCTCTATGGTCTTATTGAATCGTTCCACCATGCCATCAGACTGAGGGTGTAAAGGTGTTGTCCTGGTCTTACGGATTCCCATGATCTCACAAATTTTCTTAAAGATGGCAGATTCGAAGTTTCGTCCCTGGTCTGAATGTAACTCTAGTGGCACACCATGACGACTAAAAACTTCGTCCACTAGCACCTGGGCAACAGTGATGGCTTCTTGATTGGGAATAGCGAAAACTTCTGGCCATTTACTGAAGTAATCAATGATAACTAAGATGTATTTGTTACCACGCTCTGACTCTGGGAACGGTACAGCAACATCTATCGCTATTCTTTCAAATGGGAGACCGACGTTGTACTGTTTCATGGGCCCCCGAGATCTTAGTTTAGGGCCTGGTAGCACAGATGTCGCATTTTCGGCACCAGCTTTTAACGTCTTCATGGTAGTGAACCCAATAAAAACGTTCCCGAATTTTGTCCAAAGTCTTGTTAACTCCGAAATGTGCCCCTGAAGTTCCGTCGTGTATCTCTTTTAATACATCTTCCACTCGGTCTTTTGGGATAACCAGTTGGCTCTTAGTGGATTTCCCATCGGCACTTTCCCAAACTCTTTTGAGCAAACCATTTTCTACGGCCAGAGAGTTCCACTGGGCCCACAACGCCTTGTAAATCAAGCTTTTGTTTGACACTTCCCCCCATTCTGGCCTACATTCATCATTTTCTTTAAGATGTAGAATTTGCCCGATGTCCTGGTCTGCCTCCTGATCTTCTCTCATTTGCTTGGTAGTCCATTTGTCATCGACGATCAGGCCCGTTCTGCTTACAACTGGACTAGTGTTTTTCTCATGTATATCGATTCTTTGACAATGCTTGCAATCTTCTTTACATGGCCGTCTGGACAGAGCGTCAGCATTTTTATGCAGGTTTCCAGGTCGATGTTTAATTTGAAAATCGTATTGCTGCAATTTCTCAATCCATCTAGCAAGCTGTCCTTCAGGAGTTTTCATTTCTAAAAGCCATTTTAGAGCTGCGTGATCTGCTCGAATTAGAAACTTGCGTCCATAGAGATACTTATGAAAATGGTCGACTGCTTTTACTATGGCAAGCAACTCTCTTCTGGTGACACAATAATTTCGTTCCGGCTTTGATAATGTTCTGCTGTAGTACTCCACGACATGTTCTTTTGAATTTTGGATTTGTGAAAGGACAGCTCCAACACTGGTATTACTTGCATCTGTGTCCAAAATCAACATGCCTTTGTGATCAGGATAGGACAACACTGGGCTCGTACATAATGCTCCTTTCAATTTTCTAAATGCGGAATCGCATTCTTAGGTCCAATTGAATGTTGATTTTTCTTCTGTCAATCGATGAAGTGGAGCAGCTATATTGGCGAATCTTTCCACAAATCTTCGATAATAAGAACATAATCCTAGAAAACTCCTTAGTTCATGTTTGTCGCGTGGTTTTGGCCAGTCCCTGACAGCATCTATTTTTCCTTCAATAACTTGTATGCCCTCTTCAGATACCACGTGACCTAAGAATTCCACTTTCTTTTGAAATAGGAAACACTTATTTGGATTGAGTTTCAAGTTGGCATTCCGGAAGCGGTCAAAAACTTCTTTCAGGTTATTGAGATGTTCTTGGAACGAATTTCCCATAATCATGACATCATCCAAATATACTAGGCAAGTTCTCCATGTAAGGCCTCGCAAAACAAGATGCATCAGTCGCTCAAACGTAGCTGGAGCATTACACAATCCGAAAGGCATTACATTAAACTGGTATAGCCCGCTTCCGGTACTGAAGGCAGTTTTCTCTTTGTCATCGTCATGTATTGCCACTTGCCAGTATCCACTTTTGAGATCCAAGGTGGAAAACCATTTGGAGCCCGATAGAGTTGTTAGTGTATCGTCTATTCTTGGGAGAGGGAAGCTGTCCTTCTTGGTGACGTCATTAAGCTTTCGGTATGCCACACAAAATCTAAGACTCCCATCTTTCTTCGTAACCAATACTACTGGCGCAGACCATGGACTATTTGACTCTTCAATGATTCCCTCTTGAAGCATTTTATCAATTTGGTTTTCCACTTCCTGTTGCTTAGCTACTGGCATACGTCGTGGTGGTTGTCTAATTGGGTGTGCTAATCCAGTATCAATTTTGTGTTGAATTAAGCTGGTTCGTCCGGTTTGATTGTCCATCACAAATACGTCTGCTTCTTTCAAAATGAAATCTGTGGCTTCTTGAAGTCTATCTGGATCGAGATGTTTCCATGATTTCGCCAAAGTCTGCATCAAGGTGTCTGTATCCAATTTGGATTTCACAGAATGTCGCTTATCTGGAAGTTCACAGTTCGATATTTGCTTAACTGGTTCGAGAGTTCCAATAATGTCTCCTTCTTTTATTCTTACTATTTCGGAAGAAACATTGGCAATTCTTATCATAATGTCTCCATTTGTTCTTACTAGAGTCTTTCCAACAAGAAATCTTTCTGGTTTATCTCCAATGAAATTACGTGTTAGCCCAACGCAGCACCCAGGGTTTGTTTCTAATCTTCCGCAAATGATCTTCTCAGTACTTCCAGGAATCCTCACTGGGGTTGTGGCCAAGATCTTAACGGCATCGGATTCTTCTTGTGTTGTTAGGACAATTTCTTCATTACCAAATTTAAGGATGTTCAAGGAAGGAACAAAAGAGAAACCATGTTGGCCGATCAAATCCATTCCCAAAATAAAATCGTCTTCTATATCGGCGACTAATGTTCTGTGCCTGAAGGTGGTAGATCCAAAAGTGAGCTCAACCATAGCTTCTCCTTGAACTGGTGCAGATTCGCCGGTGACTGTTCGTAGTGACAGGTTTCTAGTGAGCGGTTGGATTGCCCGAGACTTGACTAATGTTCTTCTAATTATGGAAACTTCAGCACCCGTATCAAAAGTAATGGCTTTCAATTCTCCATTAATTTGTCCTTCGAATTTTAATCCTCGATAATGATTGCCCAATGATTTTATGTACACAACTCTGGGGGCTTCGTCATTACTAGCCAGCATCCTCCCTTCCGTACTAGTTGGTTCCTGTTTGTTATTAGGGCTGGCGTCTCTAGACCTTGAAAAGCGTTGAGAATGATCCCCAGATGGAAAGGACCTCCTTAGTCTACAATCCCATTGCATGTGTCCAAGCTTTTGGCACCGGTAGCATTTTACTCGGTTTCTCGGTGTTGGTGTTTGTCTGGAATCGTTCCTCATTTTTCTATCTTCTAGTAACAGTTTCTTTATTCTCTCCATGAAATTACTCATTTTGGCTTCGAAGCTACCATCCTCTTTTGACAACTGTTTATCTTTTGGGTCTTCAATGGACACTGCTCGTATTCTGGGTCGTGAGGCACCAAAGATTGCTTCCAGTTCTAGTGCTCGGACAAGGGCTTCGCTACTTTGTCTGAACTTGGACATTCTTAGGTTTTCCTGG